TCCCGTGCGCTTAAAGCCATAATTATCTAAACGCGAGATGAAGTTTTCCACATTGTTCGGTAAACAGTAATGATTTATCATAATTAGCACGCTTGGTAAGTAGATTTGTAATCATAGTACTAGACACACATACGACACTGCTCCCCGTTGCCATTCAGTCAGCCGGTCAGATATATCAGACTTAAAATATCCAGACTGCGACATATAACAAAGCCACGCTGCAGCTATATTATGGTTGTAGCATGAATAGCTCGGCTCGACCGGAGAAGGACCACACTCTAAACAAAATACTAGCGTGACACGACAGGATAACGCTGCTGTGTTTCGTATGATGAGTGAAGAAAACCGGAGAATATTTTCAATGGAAATTAGGTTTTTTTTTATATAGGACTGGGGGCAAACGAGCATGCGGCTCACCTGATGGTAAGTGACTACCGCCGCCCATGAACAACTGCAACACCAGGGAGGGAATTGCAGATGCGTTGCCGGCCTTTTAAAAAGGAGTACGCTCTTTTCTTGAAGGTCCCTAAGTCGTATCGGTCCGGAAAAATCGCTGATGGTAATCGATTCCACAAGGAAGTCGTGCGAGGAAGAAAACATCTTCTAAAGCGCACACTGGTGGACCGCCAATCATCCAGATTGTGTGGGTGGTATCGGGAGTTCTGCCGCGATGTGCGTTCGTGAAATTTGGCGGCTGGGATTAATCCGAACAATTCCTCAGAGCACTCCCCATGGTAGATGCGAAAGAAAATGCAAAGGGATGCAATATCTCTTCGCAGTGCCAATGAATCGAGCCGATCGGAAAGGGCTCGGTCGTCGACGATTCGAGCCGCTCTGCGCTGGATGCGGTCAAGTGGAAGGAGCTGGCACTGGGGAGCCCCTGCCCAGAGATGGGAACAGTATTCCATGTGAGGCCGAACCTGCGCCTTGTAAAGTTGCAGGCGGTGTGCCGGCATGAAATACTGTCCCGCTCTGCTGAGCACGCCAAGCTTTTTAGAGGCCAATTTGGCCTTCTCTTCCAAGTGACCACGAAACTGCACGTCACTCGATATGTCGACTCCGAGGATTCCGATACTGGCTGAGGCAAGAAGGGGTGTGCCTTGAAACTGAGGAGAACGACAAAGGGGTTCTTTTTAGCGGTAAACGCGCAAACTTGTGTTCTATCTTAGTCCACAGGGGTGACGACGCATCTGCATTTTGATTATTAATCGAGGATACATGTGTATGGGCACCCACACACTAACTATCATATCGACTGTGTACTCACCCTCATTTGTCATAATTAAAAATTAAAAATTTTGTACAAGCGACTTTAATATAAATTATTAAGAATAACTCAAAAACTATTGGTCAAACCTATATCAAATTTATATGCAAGCACCAGCTTTCAAATAAAAAAGAAGCATCGAAATCGGTAACACAAAAAAACCTTGAAACGTGCAAATATATATAATATTTTTTCTTTGGAACATCGGGTCTATTACAATAATTTCTCCTCACTGGGAAGCTAACAATTAATATGTGAATAAACATTCATTCAAAACATTAATATATCATGTACAATGTTCATTTTATTCGCAACGCAATAAAAAATAGATCAAACGTCTATCATAAACTCTTTCTCTGGTACGAGCGATATTCCGCGGAACGCAAAAACTTACCGGGTGACGTGAATAATGTCACGCTAAATTAAATCCCGGAGCAATAAAGAACAGATGACGTCTCTTCGTGGCCAACTTCCAGCCTTTTGATTCGGCTTCGTCGGCTATACTGTGTCGAATGTTATTCGAGTTTGACAGTTTAGAAGTTGAGGCCCACAGTTTTGAACTTTCCTTTTGAAGCATAATGGTGTCCCTCAAAGCGATATTTGGTACCACTATTGCTATTACTAGTGAAATACATAATATAAATGTTGTGGCATACAGAGTAAACAAGATACAGAGAAGAAAGATACAGAGTAAAGTTTGTTCTTTACATTCTTGAATCCACTACAAGTTAAAGGCATTTTCAAAAAGGAGCCATACGATGTAAGCCTTGAATGATTACCTCGTACCTGCAACACTAGCAGCCTATTAAGTGAAGATAGCACTTATAAAACTGTTGCCCATCATTTACTCTTTATCTGCCCGTAGTAAGTTGAATTTCCTTGACCGTCACGCTTGGCGGATTGGCGATCGCAGTATCAAATGTCTCGCACCTTTCACACTATTTTCCGTCCGCGGTATCGGGTTTTTACGTCAAGTCGAAACGAAATGGTTATTCATCCATCCATCGGAATCACAAGATTTTTCTCGCATTATCTTAGTAGCTCTTACGACATCCACGTGAGGAAACTGGATTACTTTTACTTTTTAAGAAGTAAAGTAAAACGTACAAAATCCTCCTGAAGAGGAAGGTGTTGTGCCCATAGACACCTACATCTATCCTTTAGTTGATAATATCCTTAACCGACGAGCATGTATGCGTAGATATATGGATGTAAAAAGCGAGAGAGGTGTATCAGGAATCCATAGAATAGAGTAGAATAGAATGATTTTTTATTCAATATTGTTAATTACATAATACTTATTGAAAGTCATTTTTTATTTGCCACTGATTCGTAAAATATCTCTGCCCTGGGAAGAACCAGCAAGGAACCCAGCGAGACTTTTCTTTTAAACATATTTCACTTTGCAGTATAATTTTGCTTGTACAATTTTTAAATGAATTTTAATAGAACCAGCATGGTGGCGATCGCCTCTTTCGCAAGGGTTATTTTCATTCATGTATTCCTTGATATTATAGTAAACGTTTTTGTACAATTTTTCTTTAATGAAACCGTTACACTTAATTATTAACAAACTTTAAACATGTTCTGGGTTTTTGTTGTAAAAGCGTATACATTACCCCATAAATGAATGACTGATTCTATGGAGTAACTGGTATTACAAGCTTATGTTTGTTCCTAGTGTTTAAAGCATGAACATAGTCCCTGTCTACCCCTCAATTAGGAATCAAGTTCTAACAAAAATACACACGAGCAATTGAAAAACAAAATCGTATGAATAATATGAAATTTTACTGTCACAAAATCATTGACCAAATCAAATTCGTCGCTCACAAAACTGATAAGAGAATAGAAAGGGTTTACTATGTGTGTTTGAATTAAACTATGCACGTAGTAGAGACACGCTACAGGACATAATTATGGTTGGGTTATATCACCTACTCTTATTCTTCTGCGGATATTTCCATTGCGGGTTTTATCTTGCAGAGAAATTCCGAGCATAGCCATTTCCATCGCACGCCGAGTGACTGATCTTACTCATACGGTCAGAAGTGAAAGGTCACGTAAGTGGCAACATACACTGGTTATTGATGCAAAACTTGTATACAATTAACACCTATTAATTTTTATATAATATTCTGACAAGAAATGTATCTAATTGCGGTTTTGAATACAATCTTTGAAACCGTGTAGTGGCGGCGTTATAATATCCACTAGCCCATATCGTCCCGTGCGTTTCGTAAGAGACGACACAGCGAAACAAAATAAGAGATGGGCAGCAGCATCTTCCAACCCACCCAAGTGTGAAGCTTGACAACTATTCCAAAATCCTCCCTATGAGACATATATCACGGTAACAGTACTGGCTTTTAACTAATTCGCGCTAAGAATAGTTTTTAAAAGTGTGAAAGCGGTAAAAGTAAAAATAAGTTCTGTAAAATTAAAAACCATTCCGAAACAAGATTATAAAATGGTACAGTTTTTAAATCAAAAGCTCTCACAGCTAAGCATCCACTTGATGTTGAAGTTATTTTAAATTTAAATATAATCTCGTTTGCAAGGCGGTACTTCATCCAAGCATTCATAACAGTCTATCAAAGTCCACTGACTTTGAGAGGGAATATTTGCCACTGTTACAACGCTTGGCTTGGGATTGGCAATCGTAGTTTTTTAGTATAATTAACGTTTTCGCTGTCCTGTGTACTACATATAGTTCATTGCTACAGTCTTACTATTGTGTCTGAAAATTAAATTGTTAATAGTAAGATGCTGCTGCCCATCTCCTGTTCAGTTTCCCTCTTTTATCTCACGTGATAGCTTGGAGAGCTTCTTACACCACCACCAAACAGTTAAAGGCGAACAGTTTAAATAGACGTAATTAGCATTAAGCTTTATCGCAACTATATGAAGCGTTTTGAAAAGTAATAGAAAAATTGTTATCGCAGTTAAACTTCTTTATCGATTAGTGGAGAAATTTAGTACGGTATTTTAAAAAAAATAAAGTTTTCTTGTAACGTTTCACCGCCGGGACTGCATGAGTATATTATTACTTAACCCACTTATGTAAAATATAAAATAAAAGAAGAATGATAATAAAGTAAAGAAGTTTCACTTCGTACGTGTGTACACAAACCTTAACGAATTACTCGCACAATTTTTTAAAAGATTGTTTGACAGTTCTCGCAGACTAGTTAATTTTTATTATTTAGTTTTTATTTTGCCGTGGTAAAGACTATTCCGCAGGGTAATCTAGGATATGATCCATCTATGTACCAAGTACGTATAATCAGTCCGATTACAAAACGGTTGTCTTCAAAGAAAAAGTGAATAAGCTTATGTCACGTACCATCCATACGTTATGACTTATCATTCAGTGCTTCAACACAACTTACCACCATTGTGGTGGGATTGTGGACAAGTACTGGTTAATAATGAGTAAAAAATGAACATTTAATTTTTATACTATATATGTTTCGGTGATGAAGAGCAACGTTAACAATCCACAGAGACCGATTCTGTCCTTCTGTGCATAAGTAGGTTCATACGTTTATATGTTGGTATGTATTAACACAGATATCTTAAAAAGAAATAATGATATTGTCCCCAAAACCAATTTCATTCGACGCTTTAGTGCATAATGATACCTGATTAAGCTTACATTTAAACAATCTTATAGTTTTTTAAGCAAAAAAAAAAAAAGAATATTATAATTATAATTAGTCACCAAATTATTTTACAAGTTATCTTTACCTACCTTATCTCTCAGCATGTCGCGGACTCTCGTTGCCTGATGTCGGCTCCTGTGCAGTTCCAACTGCAGTTCGAGACACCGCTGCTGCCAATTCACGGACTCAAACTCCACTGCTGCGAACTCGTACTCCAAAGGGTCCATGTGCGATGGATGACCGAGCGGCCTGTCGAAAAATACAAGTTAGTTAGTCCCTTACGGTGCTTTTCATAAAAGTCCATTGAATATTATTTTGGAGGAGGTGTGAACCTCCTCCTTTCAATAATTTTTCGACTGTATTTTTTTGTGTATATGATACGATATCTTCGTCAATCGTAAATCGATTTCGATGATTCTTTTTTTGTTAAATAGGTGATACTTCAGAAGTGGTCCCACAGAATTTGATAAAAAAAGATCTCTAGGGGCTTCCAAATTAAATTAGGAGATAAAGTTTTAAGTGTAACTACGAGTATTTAGTCAAAATTGAAATTGTGATAATATTCCTTATTGCACTGAAAAGGGTAAAAAATATTTTTTTTATATGATAGGGTGACAAACGAGCACACATTCCACCCGATGGTAAGTGGTTGCTGTGGCCCATAGACACCTACATTTATCCTCGTTTACGAATCAAAATGCAGATGCGTTGTCACCCGTGAGGATTAAGATGGAATGACTCGTTTCCAGTAAAAAGGGTCTCCGGTTCTCTACACTCACCATACGAAACACAGCGGGATTAAGCTGCTATTTTACGCTGGTATTCTGTGAGAGCGTGGTCCTTCACCGGTCGAGCCGACCCATTCGTGCTACAACTATACTACTAATATAGCTGCAGCATGGCTCTACCACGTATAAAACATTTAATTAAAAGTTTAGTTTTAAAGAAAATCTTTTAGGGGATTCTTCCATGCCCTCTGTTTTAACACCGACAGCAGAATATAAAATCATTTTCTGCCGACTTCCAAACAGGAGACGAGACTCAATTCGACTGTATGTTTTTTATGTGTGTTACCTCATAACTTTTTACTGGGTGAATCGATTTCTATGATTCTTTTTTTATTTGAAAGCTGGTACTTCTCGTGTGGGCCCATATGAAATTGATCAAAGTCAGACCAGTCAGGCTTTTGAGTTATTTTTAATAACTTATATTGAAGTCGGCTGTACAAAATGTTTAATTTTAAATTATATTATTTTTAGTTCTTTGAAATTGGCTTTGATTTTTTTATTAAAACTTTATTTTACGTTCTTCACGTTTGTACTTTGTGTTGTGTACTTTAATTTCAAAAGTAGGTACTTCATTATTTCTTTCTTTTACATAACTATGTTATATACATTCAATAACACTAACGCTAGTAAGACGAATATCTACAAAAATATCTTAAAGCTTTCATAGCTGCCATTGATGTTTTCAACGATTACCCTTCTCACTTCAGCCGAACGCGTTCCGCGCTTTTCTGCTCAATAGTATGAATCACAAACATGTGACAAGGAGTTTTGGTTCCGGAACGACAGTGTCATTCTACTCGAGGTTTTCAGCGAGTTGTCGACACATGATTTCTTCCATGTAAGGTGACAAACGGTCGAGAGATAGATTCGTATATTTATTATATGTTTTTCAATTAAACTACTTTTACGTATTTCATCACGTTTAATTTTATTTGTGTTAAATTTGTTTATCAATTCATCATCATCATCATCATCATCATCATCATCATTACAGCCCTTCACAAATCCACTGCTGAACATAGGCCTCCCCCAACGAATGCCACAAAGCACGGTCCCGAGCTACACATACATCCATTGGCTTCCGGGATGTCTTACCAGGTCGTCACTCCATTTAGGGGAGGGACAAACACAAAACAACATTTCTTCCTTTATCAGTTAAACAAAATAAAATCTGTAAAATTTGTTTTATCCAATGCAAAATACACACAAATAGGCATATTTACGGTAAAAACATAAATAAAACATTTTTTAAATTATATTTACAGATTTAAGGCTTTTTCTAGGAAGGGTCGTCAGAAAGAGCAGAACAACTTCTGCCTGGCTAGCAAGTTTATTTAATAAAAATCTGTGAAATCCTTTGATTTACCACATGCATTAATTTATATTTTTATAAGTAGATAACTGCCGAATTCACTGTAAAAATCTTATTCATAAATAACGCGATCTCTTCTGCAACATGACGCGCATATGAGAAAGCGTGTCTGTGAATTTTTACGTCGTAGACAGTTGCCAATATTAGCTATCAGTATCTAATATTAGTATGCAAAACGTTTAAGACTTTAACCGTCTTACGACAAAACATCGTTTATTATAAATATACAACGTATAAAAAATTTGTCCATTAAGTTCAAAAATATTATAAAACAAAGAATTATTAAAAAAAAATATAGGTGATAATAACCCCTAGGAATGAAGTGGTCGCTACTACGCTATTTCTAATATGATTTACATAGTTAACTGTGTAACAATACATTATTGTAAACTGCTCTTTTTTCGAAAAAAAAATGACCCGCTAGTACTCTTGATGGTTCTTCGAAAGAACGACTTTCAATAAACATAATTGTAGATTATTAATTGCGATCCGCCCGGCTTCACACGGTTGATTTCTGGATCTCGACAACAACGCCACCTATCGGGTCCAATTGTAAATCTAAACCACCTTTAATCAACTTAATCAAACATAAAATTTTATCAAAATCGATCCAGCCGTTTAGGAGAAGTTCGGTCACATATACACGGACAGAAGAATAATATAATAAATCATATGCATATTATATTATACACTAGCTGTGCCTCGCGGTTTCACCCGCGTCATCACGTGTCCGAGGTGCGCGACATGACATGACACCTAGATCAAGCATTTTATAATTGCTATTAAATATTTTATTTGATAGCAATGTATGGAAAAATTGGCATAATTAATGGACTTTTATCTGTCGGAATATTATGTATGATGTAGAGCGAAGTTAAGTTTTATCCACTTTCCCTCCCCCTCCTGGTTGAGCGACCTTGCCCCCCCCCCCCCTCACGTCCCAGAAAGTGTCCCGAAGCGCGGTTTTTTTCAGTCTTAAAGAAAACCGTACACGATATATGAAAAGTGTGTAGGCATGAAATGATTCTTGATAAATTTGCTATCAAACTCTTATACTTATCGGAAATGACAACAGGAGATCCCACTTCTGATGTCGGAAATTACAATAGAGGATCGCAATTTTGATCTCTGAGATACATCAGGATAGCGTTAATTGTTAAAAATATTAAAAGTGTGAGAGCGGATGTTCAACTTGCTCTCTTGCTTACGCAGTTAATCATTATCAGTAATAAGACAGTGTAACGCACTATACATCCAGTATAGTGAAATTACAGTTCGACCACACCGTAACACGTCTCCGCCACAATCACACACCAGTGTAACGTGAAGTACGTAATTACATGATAACACCAAAATATGTAAACCAACAGCAACACTACTTATCTCAATGTAACACTGGACAACATCTCAGCAACACCAATCCTCCTTGTCTGCACTAGAAGAATTACAACAACGAACAGAACCACGACACTATCTTAGCACTAGTAGAGTGACCACACTCGTTGAATGACTGAAGCGGAATCTCTCACGCACGGCACCTACAGTGAACTTTATACTACAGACACAAGAGGGGGTTTCTCGATATACCCTCCATTCTACCTCGATCCAACCGGGTATTTTATAGACGCTCCGACATACTTATTAATCAATAAAATTTTCAAAATACCATAGCAACGTGAAATGAAAGAGTTCAGAAATAAGGATGTAACTAATCATTGTCATAAAAGTACTCAATTAATTTTTAATTTATTTTAGCTATTAGATTTATATGATTGAACTAACCTCGCTCATAGAAGCTTTCAATACTGTCTTCTCGCAGTTCTCACCGGGCGGCTAGGGTTTATGCGCCGTTCGCGCGCTCAGCCAAGTATTGAATTATTTTAATTTTACATTATCTCTTAAACTATGCGTCCAAATAACATCATATAAAGAACAAAGTTTATCTTCATAAAATTGTCTTGATGATGAAGTAACTTTTGTTCGTAAGAATAAATAGACCATGCCTAATAATAACGCTTATAAATCACTTTTTAATTTTCAATATTTTTGTCACAAAATACCTAATTATGGATTGTGTATAAGAAATAGACATATGGTATCCTGGACTTTTTTTTTTTAGAAGGAGTAAAGATCTATATTTTTCTAGAACATTGTATTTACGTATCCTTAATCATAACACCAGCGTACGCGGATAAATCATTTTGGGAGCGCTTTTTCTTCTGACTTGCTTAACAAATATCCATATTTAAGGCTAGCTGAGTGATATAGCTTAATGCTGGATAGACTATACTATTCCACATAAATCTGGCAATAATATACAAAAAGAATTTTTCAAATCGGACTGGTAATTCCAGAGATTAGCGCGTTTAAACAAACAAAAAACAAACAAACTCTTCCGCTTTATTATATTAAAATAAATATAGTATAGATATAAGCCTTCCTCTTGAATCGCATCAAAAGATCTAAGCGTACTGACGACGGGAAGAGAGTTTGTTTTATACTATGTATACTGTTGTAAGATATTGAATAAAAACAATTCTATTTATATTTATAGTCTCGGGCTTAAACTTTGGTTTAAAAAGTGTCCTTCTCTTTCTCTCTAAAGAAGTCCCTTGGCCACGCCATCACGTATTTCGAAAAAATGACATTTGCTAAAATTCCATATTTCACATTTTAGTTCGCATATTATCAACCGGATTTCTTTATTAAATCAGACTCTAGTTTAAACGTAAGGCTAATTATAAACTACTTTTTATAATAAGTGACTTTTTGATATATCATAACTGCTTGAAGTTCGACCATATTCATAAACGTAACCAATAGTTTACTTTGTTTAGTGGCGGTTAAAGGTAGAATGCAAGCTCATTAGTTATTCTATTGTTAAGAAAATATACGAAATGGTTTTTTTATAAGCAACGGACAACCCTAAGTTTATGCGATAGAGATTTAAAAACAAAACAGCAAAATGGAGCTTTCTCACTTCGCGAGAACAAAGAAAAATATACAGCTGCTAATTGCCAGCATATAATTACCTACTGGAGCGTTAATTTAAAAATCAAAACTTATTACTGCGACTGTTTATATTTAAG